GTGCTGCAATCCTGAAAGCACATGGTTCAAGGTCACCAGCTGCTCCATGGGAGAAGGATCAATAATCTGTTCCCTCTGAAACTGCCTCTGAAAACCCACCAGAGGGTTGGTTCCAACAACAATATACAACAACTCTGCTCACAGAGCAGCTTCCTGATGTAGGTATAGGTTTTGCATGAGCACAACTAGGTGCTTTGGGATTCCCTTTCTTCTCAATATTAGCCATAACTTGACATATTGTATTGGGAAATCAACAGTTAGGGACATCTCCAAATTACTGAATAGTAATGATGTCAGTTTGAGGATTGAGGTGCATCTGATTCAAGCTATGGTCCTTTCTGATCACTTGCTATGCATCAGAGAGCTGGACAACGAGTAAGGATGACAGAGGATTTGATCCCTCTGAGCTGTCGTGTTAGAGAAGAGCACTGACCATCCCATGGACGGCCAAAAGAACAAACAGATATGTCTTGGAGACGGTGCAGCTGGAGTGCTCTTTAGAAGAAAAGATGATACAGCTTCCCCTCATGTACTTGGGGAATGTTGCTAGAGGAGGCTATCCTTTGTTAAATGACATCATGCTTAGAAAGGCAGAGAGATGACGAAGAAGAGGGAGACCCTCAGCCATGTGGATTGACACAGTGACTGCCACAAGGGGCTCTAGTGTGTCAGGAACTGTGAGGATGGTGCAGGAGAGGACAGGGGTCAGGTCCGTTGTTCATAGGTTTGCTGTGCTTCATGGCACCTAACAACAACAACAACATACACATGGATTCAACCAGAATCATTTAGACTACATCTGTGGAAAGAGACATTGAAAAACTCAGTATCAACAGTCAAAACTAGGCCAGGAGCTGAATGTTGAACAGATTGTCAACACTCATGCACAAGTTTAACTAGCAGTTGAAGGAAATGAAAACAAGACCACGAGAATAAAAATATGATCTTGAATCTTTCTAACCCAAATTTAAAAACCACCTCAAGAATAGATTTGATGCACTAAACACTAAGGACTGAAGACCAGAGGTGGTTTTGATTTTGGGGTTTGGTTTTTTTTTTTTAAATTGAAATACAATTTCTATTTTATTCTGATTAACTTACAAAGTTTGTATACATTGTTTTTCACACTGGGTCTTTCCCATTTCCTTTACCCACCCCAGCCTCCACCCATCGGATTTTGTGACCCTATAATTAACATCCCCTCCTCCGCCCATCCTCACCCCTTTGGATCCTCATACACATTGTACAATAATGTGAAGACCAGAGGTGGTGTGGAATGACATCAAGGACGTCATCAATGAAGAAAGTAAAAGATCAGGAAAGAAAAGACCAAATTGGATGTCAGAAGAGACTCTGAAACATGCACTGGAATGAAAAGAAGCCCAAGCAAGGGGAGGGAATACAGAAGGAAAGAGAATTGGCCAGAGGATTTCAAAGGGCAGCTCGAGCAGACAGAGCAAAACATAACGAAGTGTGCAAAGTGCTGGAAAACCAAAGGGCAAGAACATAGTAAGGATTCCTCATCCTGGTAGAACTGAAAACCCAATTCAAGCCTAAAGTGGCAATGCTGAAGAATTATCTGGACAAAATCACGAATAACGTACGGGGCATTCAAGGGACTTGGCGAGAATACACAGAATCACGGGACCAAAAAGAACTGGTTGACACTGAACCATTTCACGACATGGCAAATGATCAAGAATCAATGGTGTTGAAGGAAGAAGTCCAAACTGCACTGATATCACCCGACGAAAACAAAACAAACCCCAGGAATTGATGGAAGAACAGTTGGGATGTTTCAGTAAACAGATGCAGCTATGGAATTTGGGAGACAGCCACCTACCCAACTTAATGGAAGAGGGCCATAGTGGTTTTCATTTTTTTTAAAGCAATCCAACAGTAGAAATTAACAAACAATAGGTGACTCGATGGCACATAACAACAACAACAACAACAACAACAACAACAACATCACAAAGTAAGTAAAATCTTGCTGAAGATTATTTTTAAATGGCTGAAACAGTATGTTAGTAGAGAACTTTCAGAAATTCAAGCTGGATTAAACAGAGGCCATGGAGAGTAAGAGTGGAGAAAGATGTTGGGCTTTATTGATTATGCAAAATCATTTGACTGTATGGATCATAACAAACTCTGGATAATGTTGAGAAGAGTGGGAATCTTAGAATACTTAATTATCCTAATGTGAAATTTATGTTCAGACTAAGAAACTGTTTTCTGAGCAGAACAAGAGAACACTGCAGGGTTTAAAATCAGGAAAGGTGTGCATCAGGGTTGTATCCTTTCTCCATATCTACTTAATCTGCATGCTGAGTAAATCATTAAAGAATAATATGTC